GTTCATCATTTCATTTATACTTGGAAATGATAAACTATTTAAAATGCATTCTCTCTGTTTGTCTGCCTGCTGCACTGTGTCAACTTGTGGCTACGCATAAATGAATTTTAGCAAGATGTAATTGAGTGTGTGTGTGCGTGTGTGTGTGTACTAGTGAACACACATCAGCATCATATGGCACAGTAGCAGCTGTCCAGAGGCCAGGTGGCTGAACTGACCTCGGCACACACACGCACACTTCCCCCACACCTTCAGCTTTACTGCGTGGCCACAAACCAAAGACAACACAAACGGCTCCTAAATCAACAGTCCAGATTGAGCGGGACCAACATCACGGCCTACAGACAGATTCACTTCTCATTAGCAGCTTTACGGACTTCCCAGCCGGATGAGTCGCTTGAAGTGGAAATTTCTCAATATGTTTTGAGATTTAACCCAAAATGGCCGCATCTCCTCCGATCTGTTTGTGCACAATTAACACACTTTGGGAGCAAACTTCAGAATTCCCTTTAAAGCTCTTTGGTCGAAAGTCACTCAGTGTGATTTTAGATTAGATTGAGTTCCTCTCAACCGTTTGGGGTTCACTATTGGCCAATAGGATGGGATAGGATACGCATTGAACTTAGCTGGCATTCTGCTCAGTCTGCATTGGGGATTTTTTTTAATCACTTTTACCACAACACTCATGTTATTATATATGAAAACCCTCATAACATGTCTTCGAGTAGAGCGGCGTGTGCAAATACACGGAAAAAGGAATGCTGTGGTCCAAGGTCTCCAAGCGCCTCTTCTGAGAAATGTAAATCAAGTTTGTCAAGTTGCACCTGTCTTCATTGACAATGCCAGAATCACCTCGCTGTCTCACTTCAGGGAATAATAGATCTTTGATCTTCTTGGGTTCGTGACATTTTCACATCATATAAATGGGATTATTTTGAAGACATGTAAAGCCTTCTTGCATTTTGTCAGCAAATGGAAAAATAGGTGGAGGAGCTTATAACCTTTATTTTCATCAATCCAATTAATGATGTAGGATCTTAAAATTTCACATTTTATTGAATACTTTGTGGCCCCAGAACACATTAAAACATGCAAATGGACGTAACAGAAGCATATCAAAAACATAACCAAGGCAATTACGACAATTACGAAAAAGATTTCAGCTACAAACTGCAAAATGGAAAATCGAAATAAAAGCGAAAAAATATATTTCACTTTACTGAAAAACAAAGCTGTCACTGCACGGCAGATCTTTACCTCGATGATGGTTGTAATCAATCCCTTTTGAACAAATGAATCGTACTTGCTGATTATCAGGAAAGTTACCTTGTTAGATTGACCACATCAGATCAGTTTGGAACAAACAGAGGGTAACAACATACTAGCCTTTCTATGTGAACTCTCAGCATACAAAATTGTTGCTGCTGCAGGAGTTTTCAAGGTTCCACTGCTGGCTTTACAACCCTTCTATTGCCTAATTACCCCAAAACTCCAAGCAAAGCATAGAGAATGTCTGTAACTGCTGATTGTTCCTCTGAATTTGAACCAATTTATAATGAGATGACGATGCTCCATAAGTAGAAGTCTTAGGATACCAAAGTTACGATAAGACATTGAAGGATATTATTCGATGAGAACTATGACTACCTGTGAGAACGTTTTTTAACCTGAAAGATATCGCTATATTTTAGTATCTAAAACCTTTTGTCAATCAAATAATCTGATTTTAAGATTGTGATTCAATACAAGGCTTGGATTCAAACGGGGTCCAAGGTGAACACTTGTGGAAGAGCGACAAAGGCAACACCATGTCCTCATATATTAATGTGAGTGTTTAAAGGTCTTTGTACAGATGTAGTTTCTTGAGATTATAGGAAGGATGGAAACAATTTTTCTAGCCTGACCTGGACTTTATCTTTGCCTCTCTCTTGGGTGTGATGATTTGCATGTGGGGTTTTTTGGCTTGTCTTAATGTGTTCACACAAATGCGTTAAAGACAAAAACCATGTTCCATGATATAAATCAGTAAATATTAAAGCGGTCTGCAATGAGAGGATGAGGCTATAGGAACTGAGGGAAGGACGATGCAGTTCCTGCTGAAGTTAAGAAAACATTTTGTGCGTAAGGAGCAGGCAGGTCAGATAAGGCTCTGTCCAAACACGCTTTGTGCCTTGGAGCCTTGTTGTATTACAGGAGATAGGGGTCACCCTCACGCTCCTCACGTCCTCTTCCTTCAGTTCAGCTGACAAACACCACCGTTAATAACCCTCCTGATGTTTTCTCAACTCTCCTTACCCCCGCCTCTCTCGTGGTCTCGTTGCCTTGCTCGCAACTCCTTTGTTAAAATGTATAAGCGTGCTGATTCATATCATCTTGCGTTAATTATTTCTCCTTCCAGAAAAAGAAATCATATGCGGACTCTACCACAAGATGTATTTCTTCACTCTCTGACGTGTGTGAGGCGGTAGGAGTAAGTGAGTCCACATCAATATTATAAACACACTCATAGTTGTTTGTATTCTGTTTTGGAGCCATTAGGAAGGAGTTAGAGAGAGAGAGACAGGGCGAATTGGACAAGCAAGCAGATTTGTTATCTACTTAATTATATATATGTATACATGTGATTTTTAATGAGAGATTGTGATGACTCCAATAAATATAGATTTCAGGGGTGAGTTCCCTCACCAAGTCCAGTTGTTTTAGTCATGAAACACACGTACACACACAACAATGTTAAATGGTGTGGAGTCCAATGTGAAGAAAAGTCTGCATTCTCAGGGAATACATCTGATAAACGTGTGATTACAGAGGGAAAGAGATTCCACAGGATAAATAACACACCAGTACCTTTATAGAACCTCAGTCTTTGTATATAAACCAGCAGCCCAGTGCCTTGTGTCTGACCATGTGAACTAGATAAATGTGCTTTTTTGCCATTCAGAGCTGATCTATGAATCATTAAACTAACAAATTGATAAATTAATGGATAAACCATCAAAGGGGCTCATTTAGAGCTTTATGTTTTGTCTAGAAGAGAACCTTTTGAACATTTTTCCTGGCAACTCTATATTCTTGTGGCCGGTCATTGTTTTACAAACAACTTGATTCCTCATGAGCAATTAGCGGAAAACTTGGCACGTTCATCTGTGGTGTGCAGTGTCTTCTTTAAAACAGGGAAACTGGATAAGTAGCGAATCAATGAATTATTGGCTGGCCTAAAAATAATATATACAGAAGATGAAAAGTTTGTGATGCTCTCGAGAAAAATGTTTTTAAAAATGTCCAACAAAGACCTGACACACAGCCTGAGAGATGGACCTGGACCTTTAAGTGATCAAACAGCCATAGACTGAAACGAGGTGGAAATGATGGGGCATGCCAAGTGACAGGAGAACTGGACTTGAATCAGTGTCAGTTACTCTTGTGGTGTGATGAATCCCTCTCAGATGCCTGATCTCAACATCCTCTTGACAGAGAACAGAACAAAATGCAGCCAACATCTATAGAGGAGTTTTTAAGTTCCCCTGAAGACCCTTTCAAGAGGATATGGGTTTTTGTTTAGGAATGGAGGTCATGCCCAAATGATAACGTTTAGTGTGGTAAACACCATCGGTTCATATTTTCAATTGGATTAAAACGTTTCGATAAATGTGTATTATTGTGTTGACAATGTATGAATAAAGCTGTGCAGTGGCTCAAGGCTTTCGCAAAGAACTCTCGGAGTAATTTTCCTTATACTAAAAGGGTTTATTCGTTTTCTTAAGTCGTGAATTATGAGATCACCAAATGCGTCTGTCACTGATTTAAATAAAAAGATGGTGTGATTTATGACGACTAGGGATAAATGGGTTCACATCATTTACTCCGGCCATGGCTCATTAACAACTCCATAGTGCGCTCAGCGACGGATCTGGAGCTGTTGATTTTCTGCTATGTCATTTTCAGTAAGGACCTCCGTCCTCCCTAAGCCAGCTAAATAGGACGTCAGGTGATCGGTGCACTGCAGAGAGAGGAGAGTCCCCTTCCGAGGTCAAACTGTTGCTGTTTGACTGACGGCCAGTTGGAAAACCTGCTTCTACGTAGAGGGAATACGCAATGCGTTTGTGTCCAAATCGGTGCGCGCGTGTGTGCGTGTGAAAAGCGGGAGAGGGAGAGAGAGTGTGTGAGAGAGGGGGGGAGAGAGAACCTAAACAGACGCTGCAGCAGACGTGCCCGCTCCCGTCTGGCTCTCTCCTCACACACTCGAGAGCAGCGCTTTGACGCACCACGCAGAGTTGGAATATAGTATTGCGCGCTGGTGTCTGAGGGTTTTTTTGTTGTTGTTGCTATTCCTACAGACTACAGCCTTGTCAGCGACTGCCAGTCGATAACCTATACTATCGGAACCCCTTATCTATCTGCTAAGGCGAGTTTTTTGGAAGAAGCCAGCGCTGCCGTCGCTTCCGCGCTGGACGCGTGTTGTGAATAAATAACCAAGAGAGCCTTACCTGGAGTGTGTGTAGGCTATATATATACATAAAGTGTGTGTACTTAAGAGTGCTGCTTTGTATCAGATCAACGATCAAAGTCATTATCTGGCAAGGACCCACAGTCCCAGGTTTATAGGCAGACAGCACTCGTCGGGATGATCTGGGCACCGCATGCCGGGGACATGTGGAAGTTTGCGCCGCTGTAGCGCAGCCAGAGAGTCGGTCCACCATCTCGTCAACCTCCAGCTCAGTGGGACCAAAACTCCTGCTTCCGAGTATTCCCACTCCGAGCAACCTCAACGAGGACCTAAATGTCAAATCTACAACGAGAATTTTAAGAGAAACAAGCATCTGCAGAGAGAGAGGACGGCGTAAAGGAGAACAGCATCCTGTTGAGTGCGGAGTTTGGAGAGCTCCCTCGGGGATTCCGAGGCTTGTCTTTTTCTTCTTTTTTTTTTTTTCTTTAACGCCCCTTGTATTTTCTAAAGTATTTTGCGGCTCTTTTTAATTTGCCACCGACTTGCCACAGTAATGGCGGGAGCTTTGTGCCCCATTGGTCGGAGCCGATCCTCGGTGACTGTGCCGGGGCTGGTGGTGACCGTGTTGGTCCTGGTGCTGGTCAGTGGAGCTGACGGTCAGCCCTGCCCGACCCAGTGCTCCTGCACCGGGACCACAGTGGACTGCCACGGCCAAGGACTCCGCAGCGTCCCCAGAAACATACCCCGAAACGCAGAGAGACTGTAAGTATAGCGGGATCAGACTTTGAATATCTCTGTTTGGTCACATTACACTGGGAAAAAAAATGTGTATGTGCTTTTAATTGATATAGCCATGTATTGGCCTATGTTGTCATAATATCTCGACTTTTATAAAAGTTGGGCTATTTAAGACGGCTGAAGACTTTATTTAATCAGGACTACTGACACTTAAAATGTGGAAACTGCATCACGTCGCTACCGAATGTGGTCTCAATATGACTTTTTTTTTTTAAAACCTCAGCTTATGCTTTTTAAAATTTAAATGGCGCTCTCGATCTAATAGGTTTCTTTTAATTTGGGGGCACAATATGATACCGCAGGGTTGTGAACGTGTCAACCAACGTGTCAGAACTACTGCGTAAACGCATCTGAATCCACCTGCTGATCGTTTTTTTCTTCTTTTTAATTGGTCGTGAACGCGATGAAAACTATGTAGTTTGGATTTAATGTGGGGACACGTCAGTGCGGATCGCGGGTCTGAAGTTGGGGCTCTGCTGTGTGCTGTGGTGGAGCTGGTGGCTGCGCGCTGTTGCGTCGCCACACAGCCTCCGTCGACCACATCGGTTTGCCTTGAAACCAGCAAGTTAATCAAAAACGGATTTGCACAAGTGGGCTTTAAGTTGAACGAGCTCTATCGGGCAGAGACTTATGACGAAACTAACATTGGTCCAGTGGAGAGACAGCCGCAGCTCCTTTCTCCACCCGCACCTCTGTGGCGCGTCAAGTTACAACAATCAATATCAATTGATGCTTGTTTTTTTTTATCATCACTTTTATTTTGACCAGAATGCACATAATTCTGACAACCCCCCTCTTTAACCCTTTCTCTTACTAGGGATCTGAATGCAAACAACCTCACCAAAATCACCAAAGCGGATTTTGCAGGACTGAGGCATCTGCGAGTGTTGTAAGTGGCTGTTTTACTATCAGTTCTTCTCTTGCCTGTTCTCTCTGTCTGCGTGTGTGTGTGTGTGTGTGTGTGTGTGTGTGTTCGCAGATGGAAAAGGGAAAAATAGCATTCTCACGCACAAACTCTGACAAACAACTCCCTGCTTTTCCAGCAACTTTCTCCCCCTTTCTAAACACGCCGCCGCAGCACAAAGGTCCAACTGTTTCCGATCATGTTCCGCATTTTGCGGCCCCGGAACTGCCGCATGCAGCACTGCGTCCAGCAGCGGTGGGTTCCACCGAGCCCCGTGTGTGTCTAGAAAGAATAGCAGTGTGTGGCACCTGTTAATGCTGTCGTGTTAATCTGCCAGTGGAAGTGTCAGGCGGGGCTTATTTTAACCACTGGGCCCCGGGGCCCATGTGTTGGAGTGATTAACGCGCTGGCGAGGAAATGATGGAGGGCAAGCAGGGAAAGAGATAGCGGTCATTAGGTGTAGCCCAACTGCAGAGGGAGGAATGCAGCTGCTGGGAGGGAGGGAGGGAGGGCAGGGTGGAGGGGAAGGGAAGAAAAAAGGACAGAGTCAAGTGAGAACAGGTTTCTTACCTGAAATTAATCTTGGTTAAAAGTTCCTCTGCATCTACGCTGCTGGGGCAGCCTGCTCATGTTCAGTTAGTGTGTGCGTGCGTGCGTATGTGCGTGTGTGTGCGTGTGTGTGTGTGAGTGTGTGCGTGTGTGTGTGCCATTCATCGTCTGAGAGTGAATGGCAAGGAATACACATAGTTGGAATTCCACCAGAGATTATATCCTTAATTAGGTCTGTGTGTTTGTAAGTGTGTGTGTGTGTGTGTGTGTGTGTTTGTGTGCTGTTTCCCTGTTGTGCACGCTCACCTGCTTACACAGGCACCCATTCTCCGCAATTCCGGCTTGAGTTCAATGGTTTTTCCAGAAAATAAAATCCATCACAAGTGACGGGCTTTAGTTTTACACCCAAAATAGGTACAAAATAAACAAATAAACAGCTGGAAGAGTACAAGGAAGAAACACGGATAACCCTGTTACATGAAGAATGTGGGTTTAAATGTCTTTTTAAAAAAACAATAAGATATACAATGGCCCCAAAGAGATGGAAAATGTTCAAAATGTCAAATGTCCGTAAAAATAGATTAAAAGAACAGCACATGGGATGAATGAATACAAATAAATAATTGATCTAGTGTTGGAAATGAGGGGATTCCCCATCATAACTTGGTTTAGTAGTGGTGGAGTTTAGTTGTCCTAGGGTTCCCATTTTGAGTGGAAGTCAGTGGGAGACTGACAGGTGTGTAGGCATAGCATCTTCAGAGATTCATGCTCCGTATTTGCCAGTCTTGGTGAGGAGACAGCAGTGGCAGAAAGCAAAAAATCGCACCAACGCTTACCTCGAATGCCACTGCGATTACGAGTGGCTGAAATGAGGGGTGGCTGGGCTCGCTCTCAGAGACGGAGGGCGATCCCAGAGAGGCTCAAAGTAGACTTGCTGCTCTTCTTGCATGGAAAAAGGTTAAGTTGATTCAGACATCTGGTCAGAACACCTACCCTAAGCCTCCTGGAAAAGACGCATCTTGGATTTTTTTTAATACAAATTCCCTCTTTGCGCTGCAGTTTGTGTTGGTTGTCTGTGTTTTAGTCCTCTATGTTTTATGATGGTGGTGGTGTCAGTGCTCCGGAGTCCATAGTTCTTCACCACGCCTGTGCACGTGGCACGTGAAACGTGCACGTTGCTCGCTTCACTCGGTGATGGCAGTGATTCTGGTGGAGTTGTGCTAGTGTAAGTGAATGAGTGGTCACAGCTATGTGCTTAGACAGAAAGTAAATTGGATGATAGATGAGCCTCTGCCCAACTGACAGGCCACTTTTAAAGTCAATCCGGAGGCTCTATCGACCTGCCGCTGATTGTCTTTTCTCCCTCTCTTGCTGTTTCAACATTCTACCACTTTCCTGCTCCACCAGTCTGTTTGTCTCTTTTTCACACCCACTGCCACCTATCTTCTCCAACCCTCCCCTCCTCGCGTCTCCCATATCATTCTCTTTGGCTCTTCTCGCCTCATTCTTCCTCTTCTCTCTCTTATCGGTGACCCAACCCAGCCATGTGTCTTCTTCCCTTTTCCTTTCCATGGCATCACTGACTCTCAGCCTTAGTGTCTTCTTCTTCTTCTTCTTCGCTTCTGTTTTGAAAATCTAACGCTCTCTGTGTTTGTCTCATAGGCAGCTAATGGAGAACAAAATCACCACCATTGAAAGAGGAGCTTTCCAGGACTTGAAGGAGCTGGAGAGACTGTAAGTAAAGCTGTTGAGCGGACTCAGCGTTTTCTCATTAAACATGCTCTTTATCTTAATGCAATATATTTAGTTTACTTGAAATCAATGTGTGTATGCATAGAAGTTTGACAAAAACAGAAGTTTTCAGGTACTTGCATGCAGTGTGCAGTGTTTATGGAGGTCTTCCATGTGCTTTTGACACATCTAGTTAGAGATTCTCAGGGTCTGCAACATGTTACTTGCCATTATTTGATGTCATAAGCTCACAATACAGCTTTCAATACATCAGCTTATTGTTAATGTTATGCACTAAAAGAAGCAGGACAAAGTTCCAGTGGAAATATGAAATATAAAGTATGTGATCTTAGATATATAAAAAAAGAGCAGATTTGACATGAAATTGTTTGCAACCCCAGACAAAGATGGCGGTCAGTGTGCATGGAAGACGCTCCTGCGGCAGACAAAAATAGGACTGATGACTTTGCTAATGAAAACCAATATTCCTCATCAATCAGGTTCCAGCTTCCTTGTGTAGCTGCTAATCGATCGGCTATAAAGGATTTTTCTACTTCAATTTTGACCATACATTTCCACTAAGACTGAGTGATCTGCTATGTTTGCAAACCACTTGATTAAGCTATGTCTTTCTCCAAAAAAAAAGTAAAGTTAAAATGCTCTTTACTTTGTGACTATATATATACCACCCACAAAAATGACCTGAGGAACCATTTTACTCTACTAAGACTGTTTCAATGTGCCCTGAAGTCACACAAAAAAACTCCTCGATTTCATGCCTGTCAATCCATTCAGGCCTCCTTTGTGCTTTATTATGAAAGCAGTTGATGTATTTCCAAACTCATATATCTGAATGATTTGTTCTAAGCATCACTTCTCCGTGTCTTCAGATCTTAGACTCCGACTTGCAAATTAATGACGCCTCAGCCTAAGAAGAAAATGCTAAGACTAAGTCACAAATGAGACGGCTGAATGCTTTACGGTGCCAGCTTGGAATCAATGCTAGTTAGCATTTAACCCCAGGGCTGTTATGGCATAATTAGGTCTTAACTCTGTGTGTTTAAGAAGGCGCCAGAAAGAAGGGGGTATGCAAACCGCCTGACTGCTGATATGCACATTGTGTTACTGTCGAATTAATTGTGATGTGAACTGAATATATCGCCTGTTTGTTGGGAACACTGATCTAGGACAAAGTGCTTGTGTTCTTTAATCAAATCCCCTTTAAAGAAAAATTGAATGCTACAATGTCACGATGGGTTTTAACTAATTGATACGGGGATGTTGCTTGGCCGAGCTGAATGCCATCATTCATTACATTTAAAGATGAGCAGTTAAAGTTTCTCCTCACGCCTTTTCTTCTACAAAGTCTTCAGGACAACCTTGGTGTGTTTGCGTGGCGTGGCGAGCAACAGGCTAGAATACGGTAGAGCGTGGGAGAATGTGAGAAGACTTAGTGACATGTTTTTAATTAAAGATGCAAAAATCCTCTCGCCACTTTAGCAACATTTTTAAAAAGGAGACATACTTGTACGCATACAGGGAACCACAGGGGCAAGTATTAAACATAGGACAAAATCCTGAGCGGGTAGTTTATCTTTCTGATAGATGTTTTGGGTAAATCCTCCAGGAGTCGTGGGGATGAAGAGGATAGAACACCGTGATTCCTCGGCGGCTCTTGTCTCTGCCCCATCACGCCTGGCTTTTCTCTGCTGTCTGGTGCACTATAGCCGCTCTTTGTTGACAGAGAGGGAAGCTCTGTGGACTTCTATAGGGAATCTGCTAGT